TCATAGATAGGTTCATTTGTGTCATAGTTTAGACTCCACATATAACTGACGTCGTATTGTATTTGTCCTTCTCTTTCTGACTTACTTCACTTAGTATGATAATCTCTAGTTGCATTACGTTGCTGCAAATGGCATTATTTCATTCTTTTTTTAAATGACTAAGTAGTATTTCATTGTATATATATACCAAATCTTCTTTATCCATTTAGTTTGTTTCCATGTCTTAGCTATTGTGAATAGTGCTGCTATGAACATAGGGGCACATGTATCTTTTTGAATTATAGTTTTGTCTGTATATAGGCCCAGGACTGGGATTGCTGGATCATGTGGAAATTCTATTTTTATTTTTCTGAGGAGCTTCCATACTGCTTTCCACAGTGGCTACACCAACTTACATTCCCACCAACAGTGTAGGAGGGTTCCCTAAGACAGAACCTTATTTTAAACTCTGAGTTTGTTATCTTATTTTCCACAAGAGAATCAATCCAGATAAAGGAGCAAATATGAAAAGAGACTTCATCAAGTAACAGAGATGTGTCTCTTCCATGATCTGTTCATGACTGCCCACACAAGACTGGGGTTGAGAGAAGCAATTTCAATATTTTGAATTGTCCAGATGGCTCCTCCAATCTGAGCTTCCATTTTCCTCTGGGGCTTGAGTGCAGTTCCCTCCAATGCTCACAGCTGATTGGATGGGGGTGGAATACCTAAGGGGTGAGGTCCAAGAAATTCCTATCTTTGCCCACTTGGGCCACCCAAGGGGAGATTTCTTTGAAGAGACTCTGAAATGAGCCAGGGATCAGTCACTCTGGGGTCCACTCAGTGTGCTGGGCCAGATGGAAGACAGCAGTAATGAATGAACATGAGCTAGGGAGGACATGGCTAGTCAAGGCCACAAGGAGCGGGCAAATGGAGATGCTACATCAGAAGATAGGGCATAGTGGTGCCAGTGGCTCAGGACATGAGAGGGAGCAGACTCAGAGCCCTCTCATCTTGGACATAGTCAGAGGAACTTGTGGTTGCTGGGTTAGGCATCTTTCACGTACAATTTTGAATTCTCATGCCAGAGTACAAGAGATGCATTAAGGTGTCTGGCTACCTCTAACTCCAACTTTTTCTACCATTCGGTAGATTTGGTTAGATAACCTATTGTTTTGGAGGACACACATATATTAGGATAAGTAATGACCACATTGATAATATATTTCTTGAGGAACTATTTAGGGTGTTTGTAAAGACATAAGGTTGTCCTTATATATATGTGGACATATTCTGCCTGTTGCATTTGGTAGAATTAAAAGTGTTAAGTAAATCAAGAGAGCAGATCCCCTACAGTAGGGACTGGGGTAAAGTGAAGAGATTAGGAGGAGGGAACCACAGTGCGTGGCCACGGTGAGGAGGTCCAAGAGCACAGCTTATTGTTGATCGGGTGGAGCCGAGAATGCAGCCAGGAGCACACTCAGCAGCCCGCGCCCAGCCCAGTTGCTATGGTTAGAGGGTCTCCTGCAAGAAAAAGAGCACAGTCCTGCTCGCCCAGCTCAGAGGTCTATGGAGCTGCCACTACTTTCATCCTTAGCTCCTCCTTTCTATCCGCTTGACTCCCACTGGTGAGAAGCGAGAGAATACTATCCTCCATGAGAAAGATCAGGAGAGAGAGGATATGGGCTTCAATGGTCAATGGAGTTAACAGCCATCCTGGGAAACGCTGTAGCATTTCCTCAAGGACTGGACAGGTGACTGGTATTACAGTGAGAAGAGCTGCAAACTAACCACGGAAACTGTGATTAGAAATGGAACATTGAGGTCTTGTTAGCCACACCTTGGGGGAAGGCACAGCGGGAAGAAGATGAAGCCATGAGGGGTGGGCTTGGATTGGAAGAAACAAGCTGACACAGTGGACAACAGCTGCCTACTGAGTGGGCACCTGCCTGTCCTTCCCCTCCCTAGCACGGCAGAGACGATTATGCACAAATCAACATTCTTGTGAATCCAAGTGGCCTCCCCTGGCGCAGCATCAAGACCTAGAGGGGTGGCGGGACTGGTGATGGCAGGGCTGATCCCTTTGGTGGCTTTTGTGAATTGGCAGAAATTGGCAGCCGTGTGGCAGCCAGCTGCTTGAGCTTTGCTGTGCTTTGCTGTCACCAAGGAGGGGAAACTTCCCAGAGAGGGTAGTCGAGAGTCTATCCATCTATCAAAATTCCACGCATTCAAGGCCCAGCTCATCTATCATCTCCTCTGTGAAACCTGTTCTGAATCCCCCCAGCTTGGATAGGTGGTTCCCTTTTATTTTGCTCTGCCTTGGTTGTACATAATTGTTCCATTAGACTTGAACCTTCAGGGGCAGGGGTTATGTCTCCCACAATGCCCGGAACAGGGCTAGTTCCTTGCTGCCTCTCAGTGTGTCCATGAAATTGAATGAATGACTGGAAGATGACGTGGTTAGGCACACTGGGAGCCTTCTCCTTACCTGTTCTTGTTGGTGCCATCTGTTGAGTGGCTCGTTAGTTGGGGGTTGTATACTGTACATGTGGGCTACACCCCAGAGCTGCCCCAGAGCTGGACGGTCACCACGCTTTGGGAGTATGGGAGGATAAGGGACAGAGCGTCCCATCCCTCCCTCTCCCTTTGTGGTCCCTGTGTGTGTAGAGAAAAGGGGAGCTGTCTTCATAGGTGCGTGAACTCAGTCCCTAGGGCTTGTTTTCAGGTTCTGCTTCCCCTCAGTAGTAGAGATCGTCATAAAGAATGGTAAGTTGAAGAGAAAGAATCTGTAGTGTGTGAATTAGAGAACTAACAGCAAGGGGAACACTCATTGACTACAGGAATTCAAATGCCCCCTCCTCTGTGAAGCATGTCCCCTAGTGTCCTCCTGGGTGTACCTTCCTACAAGCAGAGTTCTTTGCTCCTTGCTTTCTGTTCTCTCTCTCTCTCTCTCTCAGCAGCAATCTGCTCATTCCTCTGCATTAACCCTTACAGCACTGTACCATATCTCCGCCCTCCCTCCTCCACTCCCGCCCCTGGGCTATAAGTCCCTCAAGACCATGGACAGAGTGTTCATGTGTCGTGACACCTGGTGGGAATGCCCTAATGTTTCTTAAAGGAATGGATATAGAGATGAATGAATGAGTGAGTGAATGAATGCATGGGCTTCAATTGCTGTGCAGATAGGGAGGCAGAGATTCATAGAAGGAATTCTCAACCTGGGTTAAACTCTAGCTTGACTACTTACTAGCCATCTGATAAGCCATGGGCCTTGGCCGCCTCATCTGTAAAATGGGGATAAATAATCCTGACCTTACAGTGCTGATGGAGGAGGGAGATTATCTAGTCGAAGGTCCCAAGGCAGCGGCTGACACATGCTAAACACTCAACAAATGGACAATTCTAAGACTACTTGACTCAGGGTGTTGCAGGGATACCAAGCCATTTGGAAAAAAGTGCCTCTTCTGGAATGCAACAGGGAGGGAATTGAGGGGGTGCCAACACTAAACTAGGGGTGCCGACCGGCATTCAAAACCCTCGGCTGTCTGTTCCATTACTATGAACGCTCCTGCAGCTCTCTGGTAGAGGGAGGTGGAGAAACCTACCTATTCTGTTCAGGTACGGAAACCGAGGCCTGGGCAGCCCATCTGGTGAGTAGCCAGAGAGAAATGTTTTCAGGAAACAGGGAAGCACCAGGACATTCATTCATTCATTCATTCAACAGGCATTCCTTCATTATTGGGCACCTACTGCCTGTCAGGCCCTCCTACTTGCTGCAAAGACAGCCAAGGAGGTAAGCTGAGCCAGGTGACAGCTGAGAACTCTCCACACACTAGTCCTTACCCCCTGAGCCTGGGACAGTGGCTGGAAAAGAAGGCAGTGAGTTGCCCTGCATTTATCAGCTGCCTTCTGTGGGTGAAGGACTCAAGGGGTCTCATCAGGTTCAATTCCAAGAGCATCTGAGCCAGGAGGTGTCTTTTCTCAGTTTACTGATGGGGAAACAGAGACAGGAGGTGAGGCAGCTGGACCCAGCCCACACTGCAGGCAGAATGCTGTAGAGGAGAGGTTAGACCTGGGTCGTCTGAGGTCCCCAAGTTTCCCAATGCTGCAGAGGGCTGGAGGCCACCTCTCTGCTGTAACCCAGTCTGGTATGAACACCTAATTTTGAGGCATGCTGTTGGAGCAAAAGTCCTGACTAGGATAGCTGGTGACATCTTGCAGAGGTCACAGGGAAGCACCAGGACATTTCCCATCCTGTATCTGTGGTCTTCTTGTTCATCATTCATGCCTTTCTGTCCTCTGTTTCATTGGTTTTACTTCTCGTTTCCAGCCTGGCCTCTGCCAGAAGGTGATTCCACATTTTTCTAGCAGCCCATGGTTTGGCTGCCCCCATCTCATTCCCAGACACCAGGCCAAGCGACCCAGCATGTGCAGGTGGGAATGTCTAGTTCCAGCTTCCCTGCCAAGTTCAAAAGCCAGCAGCTGCATCCACAGGGCCCAAGGCTGTGCAGCCAGTGCCTGTCACTGTCACTGCACTAATGAGAGTTTCCACTGGGTGGGCCTGGGGGTGACAGCTTGGGGTGTGGAGGGGCTAGCAGCTGAAACTGGTGTGGGAACAGCACCTGTGGGAACCAGCTACATCACTCACAAGCAAGGCTAATGCAGACCCCAGGGCATCAAGGTATGCTGATCAAAGTGAAGCTTAGGGGCTTCCTGAACCCCTTTGGAACCTGAGGACTTGGGTTCAGATCCCAGCTCAACCACTTCCTAGCTTTTTGATTCTTGAACAAGTTAACCCAGCTTCTTTGCCTCAGTTTTCTCATCTGCGAAGTGGGAATATTAATAGCATCCACATGAAAGGGGTGGCTGTGAGGTTTAAATGACTTAGTCCATGTAAAGCATTTAGTTAGAGCTCAATAAACATTATCTGTTCTTTTCTGGTCCTCTGCCACCCCCTCCGTGTCCCATCACCCTTCTGCCTGCCAGCCCTCACAGATACTATTCAAAATAGTTGTTTCCCATCACCGGTCTTGCCTGACTGTCCTAAGATGCCTCTCCTTCTCCGTGTGCCTCCCCACGTTTCTAGAATTGAATTTGCAATCTGTACTCACAGGGCCACACAGATCATGTTCTCTGGGTTAAGGGATGTACCTATGGAAAACAAGAGGGAGAAAAGGCAGCCACTTCTCTAGGTTTGGCTTCCACAAAAACACCAATGTGACGAGGCTCTGGTGTCTTGCCCAGTGGTCCAAAATGCCCAAGCAGCCCTCCTGCCTGGAGCGTGTGGGAGCAGGGGTGATGTGTGAAATATTCAACAATTCAGAGGGGCCCTGACCAATCAGAGTGGACTCTGGCCACAGTGCTGGATCACGGGGTACTGGGGGCTGGGGTCTGTAGCTCTTGACCAATTGGCAAGGAAGTAGTTTATCAATCGACATTGCTGCACAGGTATGTTCTGGGTCTATAGCAGCGCCCCTGGTGGGAAGAGTCAATGAGGGGCCTGTGCGGAGTCTGGGTGGAAGGAAGGCAAGTCCTGTTCTCTCTCCATGACCACATGGTAGAAGGTTGAGAGAATTAAGTGGTCTTGAGGGGCTAGCAGGGGGGGCTGGTGTTAACTGTGTTGGCTTTGACATCAAACTATCCACTTACGAGTTTTGGCATCTTGAGCAAATTTTTAACCTCTGAGAACCTTGGTTATCTAATCTGTGAAATGGGGGCAATGAAACACACAGGGCTATTGCTAAGGATAAGTGTGATAGAAATCTCCAGAGTGCAGGGCCCAGCTGAGGAAGTGGGAGCAATCTCTGCTCCTCTTTAGTATGCCTTGGTGTTCTTTCCATCAGGTGGGACTCCTCCCAACTTTGGGGATCAATGAGGTACAAGTCTTTCTTCGAAGCACTCACACACCTGTGCAGCTCATGCTTGCTCTTTCATTCATGCAATGGGGGTTTCTTAAAGGAATGGATATAGAGATGAATGAATGAGTGCCGGGCACAGTTCCAGCAGCTGGAGAGGCTTCAGGAAACACACCAGACAGGGCCCCTGTCCTCATGGAGCTTGCATTTTGGAAGGAGAAGCAAGAAATATGGCAGCCAAGCCTTTCCTCCTGCATCAAGCACTCAACAGTCCTGAGTCCTGGACGTGACTGACACAGGAGCAGCAACAATAAAACCTGCTAACCTGAAATCAAGGAAGAAAACCCTCAGAAGCCGTAAATGAAAGCATGGCCTCCAACCAGAGGCCTGAGCTGGACTGCTGTGGAAGAGGTGCCCGGGTTCAGGAACTGGGTCTGGGTCAGCACTTTCCAGTTGGGGCTGCACCTCAGCACCAGCTGGGGAGCTTCTGGAGATGCACAGGCCACACCCCAGACCAATCACGTCAGAATCCCGGGGTGTGGGGTCCAGGTACCAGTGGGTTTTAAACTCCCCCAGTGGCTCCAATGTGCAGCTGAGTTGGCCAGGGTCTTTGAAGTGGGGCTGGGGATGAGCCTCCCGTGTAGGGCAAGAGTCACGAAGGTCTCTGTGTAGGTGGAAGGAGACTGGAAAAACTCCACCCACCAGCTCAGCTAAAGGGGTAAAATGCTGGTCATCTACCTGCAGGGGCCACAGGGGACAAAGTGTCACTGTGAGAATTCAGAGCTCGTCTGCGCCTTCCTGAGAGGGCCAGGAAAGTGGTCACACTGTCGTCTGTTGCCAGTGCCCCAAGAAAAGACATTAACCATAACCGTGGAGGGTGGCCACTTCTGCCACCCAGGGCACAAGACATTGCTATGGAAAACAAGTCCCTACTGAACAGTCTAGAAGGGCAGGCAAACAATAAACAGGGGAGCAAATATGTCAGTGTTTCCCAATCCTGGCTGTGCACTAGAAGGAGTTTGTTTTTTTTTTTTAAACTTATGTCCCTCATTTGTTTCTAGAGATATTGATTAAACTTGTCCCCATTGTGGCCTGGACATGGGGGTCTCTTATGAATTTTCTCAGGGTTGAGAACTACAAAATAAGTGAGATAATTCAGACGGTTTATAAGGGCAACCTAGCAGGATAATGTGTATGTAATTGAGAGTGATTGGCTGAGAGAGACTTGGGACAGACTCCCCCGGATGTGATGCTCAGTTTGAGACTTGAAAGATGAGGTAGGTGTGTCCTGCAAGGAGCTGGAGAAGAAGCTTTCCAGGCAGAGGGGACAGAATGTGCAAAGGCTGGAATGAGTCTGGAAAGTACTAGGAGAAGCAAAAAAGCCTGTGTGGCTGGCGTGTAGGGAGCCAGAGGGGAGGGGAGCGTTCAAGACTACATAAGCCATGGTAAGATGCTTTGAATTCTCTTCCAAGGGCAAAGGAAAGCCACTGATACGTTTAAGCAGGGCAATTACATGAGCAGAATCCTAAAACTCACGGCTGCATGCATTTCATTGGCTCCCACTTACCCCCACCCGACTTTTCTCTCTGCCCCATCCTTTATTTGCATTTTCACAATTACTCTGGGAAGAAGGTAGGTAGCTGTCTTCTCCATTTTATAGCTGAGAAGGCACCAGTGTTGAGTGACTCATCCGTGTCCCCTGGGTTCTTGAATGGCAGGCTTCTGGATCATCTGGTACCCGTCCCAGAGCTCTTGCCCAGAGATACTCCTGAGCACGAGAAGTCACAGTTGTTGTTACAGCGAGTCCCCGACATATGAAGCTCCAAGTTGAGAACTTTCAAAGATGCGAATGTGCGTTCGCATGTCCAATTACGTAAGTTAGTTCACATGTCTGGCGTACATTGTCACGTGTGTGCATCCTCTGCAAGTAGTTGTACTTTTGTGTATTGGGTTGGCCAAAATGTTCATTCGGTTTTTTCCATCAAATGGCTCTAGTAGCACTTAGTTGTCTTTAACTTCATTCGAAACGATTTTATTAGATTGTATGTGACAGCTGTCATATCAGCGTGCATTTAAAAAAAGACATATCAAACTTGGTGAATTTTTGTGTAGCCATTTTAGTATTGATGACGGAAGAAAAAAACGCAACATTTTCGGCATATTATTCTTTATTATTTCAAGAAAGGTAAAAACACAACCAAAACACACACACACACAAAAAGAAGATTTGTGTAGTGTATGGAGAAGGTGCTGTGACTGATCGAACGGTCATGTCAAAAGTGGCTTTCGAAGTTTCATGCTGGAGATTTCTCCTTGCTGGACGATGCTCCATGGTTGGGTAGACCAGCTGAAGTTGATAGTGACTGAGACACTAATTGAGAACAATCAATGTTATACCATGTGGGAGATAGCCAACATACTCAAAATATCCAAATCAAGTGTTGAAAATCATTTGCACCAGCTTGGTTATGTTCATTGCTTTGATGTTTGGGTTCCACATAAATTAAGCGAAAAATACCTCCTGGACTGTACTTCCACATGCGATTCTCTACTTAAATGTAATGAAAACATCCCATTCTTAAAACAAATTGTGACGGGTGATGAAAAGTGGATACTGTACAACAATGTGGAATGGAAGAGATCATGGGGCAAAGGAAATTAACCACCACCAACCACACCAAAGGCCGGTCTTCATCCAAAGAAGGTGATGTTGTGTATATGGTGGAATTGGAAGGGAGTGCTCTATTATGAGCTCCTTCTGGAAAACCAAACAATTAATTCCAACAAGTACTTCTCCCAATTAGACCAACTGAAAGCAGCACTCGACGAAAAGAGTCCAGCATTAGTCAACAGAAAACGCATAATGTTCCATCAGGATAACGCAAGATTGCATGTTTCTTTGATGACCAGGCAAAAACTGTTACAGCTTGGCTGGGAAGTTCTGATTCATCCACCATATTCAACAGACATTGCACCTTCGGATTTCCATGTATTTCGGTCTTTACAAAATTCTCTTAATGGAAAAAATTTCAATTCCCTGGAAGACTGTAAAAGGCACCTGGAACCGTTCTTTGCTCAAAAAGTTTTGGGAAGATGGAATTATGAAGTTGCCTGAAAAATAGCAGAAAGTAGTGGAATAAAAGGGTGAATAGGTTGTTCAATAAAGTTCTTGGAGAAAATGAAAAATATGTCTTTTATTTTTACTTAAAAACCGAAGGCACTTTTTGGCCAACCCAATACTTTACAGTACTGTATAGAGTACAGTAGTACGGGTACCTTTGTTTCAAACTCAGGATGTCTGGAAGCAAGCGTAAAAGCAGTGGTATATAGCCGATTGTGTTCGTTGGGTACCTAGGCTAACTTTGTTGGACTTACAAACAAAGTGGACTTATGAATGTGCTCTCAGAATGGAACTCATTCATACGTAGGGGACTTACTATACATTGAGTTACGTTCACTGCAACCCTGGTCGTGGGGATGGGAAAGCTCAATCCTGGCTTTCCTTGAGCAAAGCAGCTCACCCCAAAGTGGTCTTCTTTGCAACAGCCAACATCCCATCACAGACACTGTCCTGCATCTCTACCGTGACAGCCTTGTTCTAGAAAATGAAGGCGCTTTGAAATAAATCAAAGGGGTGTTTTGCGGCGCCAGCCTCACCTTGACTTACCTCAATGTTCCGCCCTGGAGTCCGCAGTCCTTGTTGGCTGGGCCTGCTCTGCAGGGTCCACGTGGGCCACGGGGCCATCTCCCCACTGCCTGGCTGTCAGCCAGGCAGTAATATTCTATTACTTCCCCAAGGACTGACTGCTGACAGCTATTGCTAGATCAAGTCCCCAGGGACTGACTGCTGACTAGCTATTGCTAGTTTTAGGGAAGCCTCTTTAATACTTGAACATGTTGTCATGGCTGGAGTATTTGGGGTTTTCTTGACACAAGTCTTGGAACCCCTTGGGAATCCCATTTCCCACCTCAAGTTCTAGGGGGAGGTGGGATGGCTGAGGAAGTGGCAAGGAAGACAGAGAGAGGCCACAAAGGACCTTCAGTGTCCTTGCTGGGTGGCTCTGTTGGGCTTTGGCTACAGCCAACTGGGGTGACCTGGGGTTGGAGAGCTCAATGCACTGTATGTGGAAACTGGTCCCACCACCTGGACCACTAAGGATGGAAATGAAACTCCTACCCTCATCATGAAGCCCAAAGGTGACAAAAACATTGCTTCTAGATAGTAACCATGGAAACTTCTCATTGCTATGGATGGCCCACCACCAGAACAGCTCCTTGTTCTATGGCATAGAGTGGCCCCCTCTCTCCTCCCCTCCTGCCACTTCACTGCATTGCCCCAGGCCAGGGCTCCAGTCCCCAGGAAGAGCTATAACTTGGCTCTCCAAGGTTCACCCTGATTTTGGTGGGTGCCAAGGTAAAGAGGAGAAAACAAAAAGATGGGGATAAAGATGGGAAAAGATGATGACATCCGGCAGTGCTGGTGAGAGACAGGCAGGCTGGGGCAGACTGTCAGTGTCATTGGGGATGCTATTAAGGGCGTTCATGAGGCAGCATGCGTGTCTGGGGTCCCATCTGACTGGCATCGTTCATTCCTGTTCCTGTTCCATTCATTCTGGAAGGGGAGCCTTAATTAGGCATGAAGAGATTTATCAAACAGCAGCCCCTTGGAGCTGGTAGTCTCTTTGCCATCTGGACGGATGGTTTCTACCTTGTGACAACAGCAGCGGGAATGATTTATGAGGTCCCACAGCTCCACCCCCTGGGCCTGGTAAAACCTGAATGGCTTTTGTCCTCTCCAAAAAAGAGCGAGATTTTGCCTGTGCTTATGGGCTCATGAGTGGGGGTTCACAGTAAGGTTTGCCCGACTCTGTGAAGTTGATGCCCAGACCTGTGGCAGCCAGGACCTTGCCTAGGGTCAGTTTTCAGTTTACAGTGACTCAACTGCAAGGATGAACAGAAAAAGCCCAGGAGACCTGGATGCAAATTCTTTTGGTGAGCTATGTGGCTTCATGTGGTTTTTGCCTCAGTCTTATGACTTATACAATGGAGATAATGATTTCTGCATCTTCCTAACTCACATGATTCTTTGGAAGTTCCTGTGACACTATAAGACACAAAATGACTTTCTTAATTATACAACCCTTGATAGGCATTGAGGATTTAATCCAACAAACATTTATTGAGCAATTGCTGTGTGCTATGCACCACCCCTGGTGCTGTGATGGACATGGATGAATAAAACACAGTCCCTGCCCTTGGCGAGCTTACAATCTAAGAACGGTCATAAGACAAGTGCACAATAACTATAATACAAGGCAGAATATGGTAAGTGCCATGAGAAAGGTACAAATAAAGTGCTACGGTGGTTCAGTGGAGGGAGAGATCCCAGTGGTTGGTAGATCGGCGGGGGGGCTTCATGAAAGATGTGGTTTCTGCATGGGCCTTGAAAGAACCAGGAGAGAGTGTTTCAGGGGATGAGAACAGCAAGACCAAAGGCACAGAGACAGGAAAACCGGGCACCCCTTCCAGGAATGACGGCTACTCTAGATGGACTGGTACAAGGTGTAAAGGAAGGATGGGGCTTTACTGGATGGTCTGTAATGTCAGGACGAAGACTTGCACATTATTTTAAAAGTTTGTGAACGGCTGGAGATAAAAAAGAAAACTCTATGAATGTTTAGGATGGACTGGAGAACATGCAAGTGTACCCAGAGGAAATCTGGGAGAGGAGACTGCTGCTGAAATTGAGAGACCAGAAGGCAAGGATAGTGCAAGAGTAGCAAGGGAATGCATGGAGAAGACATGAAGATGACTTCAGGGTCTCAGAATTGGGTGGTTGAGGGGATCATGGGTCTTCTGACAATAGAAGGAGAGATTGTAGAGTTAGGGGAGGCAGAGATGATACACTTGACTTCAGAGATGCTGAGTTTCTGGCGCTGCCGGAGCAGATGGGGTGAATGACCAACGAGCAGTGTGCAATCGAGCCTGGAGCTCAGGGGAGGCGCTAGGCTGCAGAAAGTGTAGGATGCCTCCCAAGGGAGGCGGGAGGTTGTTGATGAGTGTGCAGGGATGTGATGAAAGGGGGCCGAGGAGAGGACACCAAGGTGGGAAAGGTCTAAGTGTGGGGCAAGAAGGAGAGAGGGAAATAATGGTCGGATCTACCTCAGCTACTTTTTAGATTAAGGTAAGGGTGTCAATAAATAAATCATAAATACATAAATAAATAAATACATAAATAAACAACAAAGGGGCGTTGGCAAAGGAGGAGACTCACGAGAACGTGGCTTCCTGGGCGCCAAGGGGACAGGGAACGTCCAGGAGGAGTCAGTGTAGAGCCAAGCAGTGCCAGAGGCTTGGTGGTGAGAAAGGGCTTTGGACATGGCAGCCGAGTCTCTGGTCCCAGGAGCATGGGGGCCACGAGGGGGTCGAGAGGAAAGGCGGTGCCAGCACCAGAAAGCCCCCCAACCCCAGGTCTGGTGGTGAAGGGACGAGCCACAGCAGCCAGGATGGGTGGAATGAGTGCCTGTTGGTGGAAAGAGAGGACAGAGGCGGCGGAGTGGCTGAGGACCGGTGAGAGGATGCATGTCGTTTCCTCGGAAGTGGGAGGAAGGAAGTGAAAGGGGAGGGGAGAGATCAAGAGCTTTTGAGGAGAGACTGCATTTCAGATGATTCCACCTCTTCACTGAAGGAGGAGGCTGACGGAGCACCTGCTCCCGGAGGCCTGTGGCCACTGTTATTACAAGGCAGCAGATCAGGGTACCGGGTACCAGGTACAGGCCGGGACTCCGTGCGGCTGCCCCAGACTAGCTGGGCTGCGTCAGAGGCTGCAGTGGAACCTCGGGCAGATTGAGCTCTAAATAGGAGAAAAGGACAGGCTGCCTCCTGATCATGGTGCCCAGATGGAGAGGGCGAGTGGGGAGGGGAAGCCGAGGTCTCTGGAACTCACGCCGTCACAGGGCCAAAGTGTTTTGGCAGTACAGGACCTGCGGGTTGGGAATGGTGATGTGTGGATGGTCTTGGGTCCCCAGCCTTCTCTGGAGAGAACCCAGAGGCAGGTTTTAAGAGTTCCTTCCCTTTCCACTCCATCAATTTCAGTTTAAGGAACCAAGACCAAGAAGAGACAGAAGGAAAACCGTGTTTTCCAAAGAGCTCTGGCCCCTTTACTCCCCCGCAGGTGGGCACTGGCAGTTACGTGGAACACAGGGCCAACTCCAAGACCTGACACCGGGTTCCTCTCTGCACTCACCACTGGAACCTTCTGGAACCCAAGGCCTTAGCTAATCCGCTGAGGCCCCACTGGCAATTTTGCCTGTTCCCCAGGGCACTACGAGCTTCAACAATGAAATGTCTTCCAAGGCCTCTGAGATCCTCAAGAAGAAAGGCCCTGGAGAAGTGTAAAATACGATACTAATTATTTCCACTTCCTGTGAGAACTCCAAACCACTCTGTCCCCATAGAGCCTGTTGGGGCTGTTGCTTTTTAAAATATTAATTTTCTAATGCAAATCCCAAATCTCAGACTTCAAGCATCAACAAGAAGAACAGCAAGGGAAGACACACAGAGACATAGTATCGTGATCTTGGTTTGGAGCTGGAGCGTCCGCATGCAGGGTTAATAGGTTCTGAGCACCCTTCCACTGTCTCCACTGGCTTCCCGTCAGGCATTAATTTAGAGCAAATGTCCTGCTTGAATTGCCATTGATTAATTACGTCGTCTCATATGCTTGGGAGCGGATCTCGATCCCTTTTCTTAACCCCCTTCACCTTCAATATAATGTTTTTTGACTTATCTTTCAAATATATTTTAAAACACCATTATTTATCAGGCAAGGGAATGAATCTAACAAATCAAGCTGGCTAATGCTTGTCTACATGTGACATGTCATCCCAGCCCCTAAATTATCGACATCAAGCCCAGCTTTCCCTGGGGAGAGTATGTCCAGTATTTGGATACTACATTTGGCTTTGGGTTTTAAAAAAAAAGTCTTAACTCTTAATCTTAATAGGGGGGAAAAGGATTTTGCCAAATTCTAAAATCACTGCCTCTGTAAAAAGAAGGAGGTGGGGATGGACATTGGAACCTCTCCCCACAGAGCTGAAAACCTCAGTGCTGGAGCTCAGTGCCGGCAAGTGCCGGCAAGTGTGACGATCAGGGTAGGAAAGTGACAAGAAAGTGACATTGACACAGCAGTCTGGCTGCAGAGACACCTCCCCGCCCCCACCGCCCCTGGAGTGCAGGATGCAGAAAGCAAACACAGTGGCTGTAGAGAAATGGAGCTCGATGCTTAACATTCTTCCACACTCTGGGGCCTCACACTCTGGGGCTCCTGAGGCACCCAGGAAGGCAATCATATATATTTTAAAGGGATGACATTTATCTTTGCGGTGCCCTTTCAAGCTTTTGCGGCGGCTTCCCTGGAGGTAGAAGGGAATAGCACAGTCCTTCCTGTGACATTCTAACAGAGCAGGAAGGAGGCTAACCCTGAGGATGAAAGCCCAGGGTCCCTTCCTCTTTGACAACTCAAGTGGCTTTAAAGAACAACCACCACATTTTGGACACTCTTTTGCCTTATTCGGGGCTGGAGTGCTGACTCTTAGTAGGAAGCTGCGATTTTTCGAAAACACGATTTGGAACACCCTAGCAATTTAGTGTCATCTGCCTGCTTGGTCCCAGGTTCTTGGGGGTTCTTGCAAAGCCAGAATAGGACCTGTCCACTGTCTTCTCCAGCCTTCTCTCCAGAGCTATGGAGGCTGGTCTGGGACAGGTGGGTCAACTGTGGTTCGTCCTGCGGGCAGTTCAACTCTAAGTTCATGGAACCAAGTCCTCAGCTCTGATGTGGCCTCTGCTCCTTTTGGTGACCTTGTGCTCCTTGGCTGGGCTGAATGTTCCAACCTCCCTCTTCCTGGGAACAGCACCATTTTAGACTTGGGTCAAGTTGTCCCCTCTGGTCTTGGCTCACCCAGAATACACATTTCTCAGAGGCTCGGGGCAGCTGCCAACAAGTGGTTCTCCAATCACCCATGAGCCCAAAGATCCCTCCAACTTGGGAGGCAGTGTGTCATCCAAAGTCATGGGACTGATTTCTCTTCCTGTCAAGTCCTTCTGCCCCCAAAGATGCTCTGAGTCTCAATCTGATCCAGGTGGGTTCTCCATACCTTCTTCCTGTGGCTTATCTGCCTAATGCTAGATGAACACCACACAGTTATAAATACTTAGGTCAATATATATATGCAGGTATAGATATATATATTCTGGTCACTGTTTTACACTTGAACAAAGAAAACCACTAGCCTGCTTGTTCTAGTTTGTGCCACCCCGACTCCCATCTGCCTGTGGTGTAGCTGGCAGGAAATGTGAGCCACTGAGTCCCACGGGGCGCTCACCTTACGTGGCCCCGTCGCACTGGCCGACAGTCAGTTTCAAAGCCCCCTGCTCGTGCAGGCTCTTCAGGGCCTTGAACTCCAAGGGCATGGTATGGGGACCGGCCTGGGAAGTGTAGCCGTACTTGAGGCTGTCGTAATAGTGGTACTTGACGGGGTTCTGGTTCTGATCTAGCGGAAAGGGCCAGAAGCCATAGAGGTAGATCTGGTTGCAGAAACGCGTGGCCAGTGTGTACATCAAGAGGCCCGTGGTGGGTCTTTTGATGTGAACTTTGTTAGTCAGCCAGTATCTGGGGGGGGGAAAAAAAAAAAAAGTGAAACAAAGAAACAAAAAAGAAACCTGAGTTTGCGAATTATCCTTTCCAGGAAGGGGGAAGATTTTGTCCTGGGCCACAGCCTGCCGCCTGCTGAGGACATGAGGTTCAGAGATGAAAGGGGCTTGCCCAGGTTCACATGGGTAGAAAGGGAAGGACCTTGACTTGAGCTCAGGCTGGTTGAAATCTAAAGCAGGGGCTGGCAAACTTTTTCTGTAAAGGGCCAGGTGGCAACAATTGTTGGCTTTGCGGCCATACTCCTGGCCTCTGCCGTTGTAGCCCGAGAGCGCCACGGACAGCACACACGGGTGTGGCTGCGCCATGGTTTGCCGACCCTGATAAAGGGCCGCCTCTTGCATGGTGCCCACCGCCTATTGCCACACCTGACTTTGGCAGGGGTTGACCTCCTTGCCTCCTAAGCATCATCAGATTTCTTTCCCATCCCTGCCCACAGGGCCCACACCCCGCCCCCTTCCGCCTCTGATGCAGGCTGCCCATCTCTGAGCATACGTGGCTTCCCTGGAGGGCAGAGGGAGCAGCAAACAGCGGCCTTCCCTGTGAGGCTGGGTTCTGCAAAGGAGTCTGTTGGAAGTATGAGAGGAAACACGGGGTGGGGGCAGGGCGGGGAGAGCAGAGCTTTAGGCTAAGGGCTTCCTGTGTTGAGTGAGGTGCTGAGCTACCTTTGTACATAGAGGGCCTTGGTTTACCTTAATCGAGAAAGAAGTGAGGAAGAAACCATCTTCATTTCACAGGCTAAGCAACAGAGGTTGAGAGGTGGTTTCAGTGACAGTTCTGTCTACAACTACCGGTGTGCCTTTGAGCAAGTTGCTTCTCCCTGCTGGACCCACTTTTTCACATTTATGCAACGATGGGGCACAGACCAAGGGATTGCCAAGACAGCCTCCAAGTTCCACCGCAATCCAGAAGTGTCTTCAGAAGCGGGAAAATAGACACTCTCTTTGCCATCATTTTTGTTTTCCATCATGGTTTTTCTCCTGCTTGGATTTAGAGCCCACTGGGATGCGTGGTCCAACCTCTTTATTTCTAGTAAAACCTTCCACTTACCCAATGCTGAACCCTTTTAGATGTAATGCGTATGCCTTGGTGGAAAGCCATACTTCCCTATCACAAACTCCTTGCTACTGTGTCTCCACCAGACGGTGTCCGTGGTTTTCTGTACTCAAACACACTCTGTGGGCCCCCATCCCACGAGCTCCCATTTGCCACTGTGAGAAACACCCACCCCCCATCGGAAGCACAGGCCAACGACGTTCCCCACGGCACCTCGGCACAGTGATGCCCAAGACTATAAAGTCACACGTGTCAGTGAAATTCATGCCAGAAGGTAAAACGATGCTGGACGGAACGCTTACATATTGCTGAAAGTTACAACTGTTTTACATTATTAACAGTGCTTCTAGCTCAAAGTTTGGGGGCAGCTTCTCTAGAAGCCCAAGTATACCCTTTTGCAAGAGGTTCCTTCTGCAGCTCCAAAATAGGAACCCCCCCAAACATTTCAGAGACTCAAGCTTAAATCCTTTAGCTTTTGAGGGAGGCATTAGCCTTTGTATCAGACAAGGTTATAGATTCCTAATTACCCATATAATTTCAGTAAATCATATACTATTGGATATAATAAAACTTATTTCAAGGCTCCCTCCCACCCCATCTTGTCTGTCAGGCCAGGGTGATCTGAATTTCCCCCCTAACATCGACGATGGAGTCTGTGGTCCCCAACGGCCGGAATCAGAGTGAACATGATTCTTCTGGGCTCTGCAAGTGGCCCCCTTTCACAACTGCTGTTGTTTCATAAGCCTGTCAGTTGAAGGTCCCTTTCTTTGTACCCTCTCCTTTTTCATCTTGTCTGAGCCAAGAAACTTCCCTGCAGCTGGATTTTCCAACCTGGAATCAGGCAGAGAGGCAGAGGCAGAGGACAGAAGAATGGCTCTAGTAACTGCAAACACAATACAAAAATAATAGGAAAAGAGTTGGCGGACATACCACAGAACCTCATCATTTCTGTCCTGCATGGTTGAGAAGTTTCATCCCAGCTGATATGTCGGAGGCAGGGTGCTGGCTCAGGGGGATGCTTGATGCTGAGACTGGGGCTTATTAGATAGGGAGCCCTTCCTTAGAATACCTCAATACTCTATACGCTCCGTGGGGCTGAGCTGAGCTTGGGAGGACCCTGGGGGTTGAAGGCAGGAAGAGTGCATGGAAGAGAAGCATCCAGAAGAGCAGCAGCTGACACCTCGGCTTAACTACATCTAATAACGGGGAGCTCACCCCCTCTTGAGCTAGCCCATTGTACTTTCAGCTTTAACTTAATGGTTCTCAACCTAGGCTGCCCCCTGGAATTGCCTGGAGCTTTAAGAGGACCCATCCTGGGTCCCACATCCAGGTGCAGCCTGGACGCTGGGATTTTTAAAACCTCCCCCAGTAATTCAAATGTGCAGCCAAGGCTAAGAAGCCCTGCTCTAACTGGTAGGTGGTTCTGCCAAAAGAACCTAAGAACGAGACTTATTTAGAGAAAAGAGGGGGAAAAAGGAAGCATAAGGGATAGTCATCGAGTTTTAAAGACAGCTGGGCCTGGAGAACTCATCTAGCTCAGCGGTCTGGCAGGGGATATAGCTGAGTGAGCTGGGAGTTGGGACATGTGTGTAAGGAAAACTGACACTGGCCTCTGTGTTGCCAAGGCAATGGGGAGTGGGGGGGGGGACTGTGGCACCTAAAGGGGTAGCTGGTTTTATTGTTGTCTTGTATGGTCATGTCAAATTTTCTGATTTTTTCAAAGGTATCAGAAATCTGGATTTTAACACAAATTCTCCAAATTTTTAAATGTTGGCAACTACTTAAAAAAATTTTTTTTAATCCGGTGAGTCCCTACTGGGTGAGTTAACAGACCGTATCTATGGGTAATCCACAGTTCTCCTGGATTGAATTTGTCCTCTTCTTTCAATTTACAGAGGAAAAAGTGAGAATCCAGGGTGACTTGCCTGAGAAGAGGCAAACCTCTCACGCAGCTGGTCAGATAGAGCTTGGATAAAATGCAGCCTCCTCACTCCTGGTTCTTGGGCTTTTTTCACTCCATGGTGATTCTGGGGGGTGGGGGCGTTGTTGGGGTTGGGGATGAGCTGGCTGCAGCTGCTGTTGACACTATCCAGGGACACATGAGCCACGGGCTGTGTCCCCTCATGAGAGCATCTCAAAGACTGTTCACTCCCTGAGAAATTCAAGCCCTAACAACGGCCACATGACAGATTAGGGATTTGCGGTTTGTTTATTTTCTGATTGCAAGGGCTTAGCAGGGTAAGGCTTTCAGAAATAAATTTCTTTTCAAGCCATTGACGCTCTGCCCAGAGAGAGGCAGGGAACAATTGAATCAGTGGGGAAACGTCCAAGTAGCTCATAGGTGGGTCTGAGTTTACCCAGACAAGTGCAGTGCCCTCCCCGTAGATGTGCCTTTCCCCTACATGTCCTCTTGGTGAACTCTCTTTTTTTTTTTTTTTCCCCTCAAACTGAGCACGTGAATCACATCTTCCTGGAAATGCTCCCTTTGTTCCACTCTCTTCTCAGCTCAAACTGAATTAGTCATCCCCCCCCCCCCTTATTATTATGAGTTTTGTTTCCATGGATCCTATTGTGCTTATCAACCCGAGCTAATCCTTCATTACTGTATGGGTTGGACTCCCACTTGAAACTGTACTGTGATCTCCCCAAGAGCAGAGGCCATGCCTTACACTCCTTTGTGGGGTCATCAGAGGCACCTGGCTCAGTGTGTGGTGCAGCCAAGGCAATATGGCAGAGAGAGCATCGCTCAACCAATCCTCCATGGGATTGCCTGTATCTCTCAGCATCCCTTGTAAATGAGCTGGGGTCACATGACCAGTTCTGGCCAATAGACTGCAATAGGAAATGGTCCCTGCTGGACCAACTGTTCCCCAAGAGCTTACTCCTGCCTTGGAGAACCTCAGTGCCTCCTGGAAAGATGATGTCAGCCTAAGATGAAAGAAGCCTAAATCCTAGAATCACTGGTTGGAAGACAGCTCCAACCAACCTACATCACACTTTGCGAGGATGAGAAATAAACTTCTGTTGTGCTAAATCACAAGGGTTTCAGGGATTGTTATTGTAGCATAAACTAGAATTGATTATCCTGGCTGGCGCTCGGCAACGTTGGACTTAAATGGAATTGAAAAATGGGAAGAACTAGAAAAGGAGAGAGGGCGAAGCTAGCAGTGCATGCAGCTTTGTGACTCTGGCCGGCTAGGACAGGAATAGAAACACCCAGCCTCTCAGATCTGCTGCCCAAAATCGCTCACTGGGAAAGGTGTTAACAGCAAAAGAGGCTCCGGAATGAATTGAGAGCTCAGTGGCAGGGAGGGACCCTCTCATTTCCGATTCTGCCTCTGTGGGTAAACAAGAGCTCCTGAGTGAGGTCTGACAGGGACACGGGGGCGCCGTTTAATGAGCAGCTTGTTCTAGAAGCTGACAGTTATGCGGGAACAAATCACTCTCCATTTCCTTTATCGCTCCTCAGTCGCCCTGGCCAATTTAGAGACTGTGTGCATGGCCGACTTGTAGACGATTTCTTTCCTTGAGATAACAGCTGGGTGTTAAAACACAAACTAATTAATTTTGCCTTCCTAAACGAGGTTAGCTGGGTGCATCCAGGATGCTGTATTGACAATGCACCTTTAATATCTCAGTCTGGAGGCTTTAATTAGAAGGCAAAGTCATCTCCAAAAAGGCAGTAATTATTTTTCAGATTCGTTACCCCAATTGCCAAGACAATTAAGTGCCATATTTTATGAGCATGGACGGCAGTAAATGAAGATTTGCCAAAATCATCACCAAAGCACACTTGCCCTTCTCCCTGGATTCCTGTGCTTGGTATGTGGCAAGCATGGTGGCTGCCATGGTTGGAAAAAGTGACCAAAGGGGCTTCCTCTAAGAAGCTGAAAGCACTTTGTGGG